AGCCTTGTGGTTAGCAGTCAAGTGCCTTAGGCACTACACTACCAGAGCTCTGGTAGTCCATGGTATATTCAATATTCTTCACACACACACACACACACACACACACACACTCAATAAAAAAAATCTGCAGAAAACTCCATATATTTTCAACAAAAAGTTAAGGTTTTATTAAGGATATCATTTCAGAGACAAAAAGAAGTTCATTTTATTTAGCAAAATAAATTTAACAAATGCATTTAAATAAAGTAAATTCAAGACTTTTTGTGATTTTTTGTTGTTGTTGTTGTTGTTGTTAGTAATTTGCTTTTCTGCCAGTTGTGTCTTCTAGCCTAACTAGGTTCTTTCCAAGTGAAAGCAGCTATAATCCAAGAAATTGCTCTATGGAGTTCAAATGACTCAAATGCTCTTCTGTATACTCACTCAATCATCAGTGTATTTAAATGAAACATAAGGAAAACAATGTAGGGAAGTAGATTCAGAAGAAAATGTTTCTTCCTCTCAGACATGTTATCTTTTCGACATCTTGCTTGCTTGAAGTGGATGGGACGGTAAAATGCTACTGGCTGGTGATGGTCAAAAGCAAACTTCAGTGGCTTTCATACCATCTGTCATCATGGCCCCAAAGGAACTGTAAGCCACACCACTTTCCCAGTCAGGCCATTGCTTTACACAGAAGTTGCACATGGCTTCCTAACATTATTTTCTTTCCCATTTACGTACATTAAAAAACACAACACTGTGTTAAATAGCAGGACAGCTAACAATGGAACATACTATACTACACTGAAAAACCAAAACTGTTTGGTTAAGCTGAGGAGAGAAACAGCAGATGGTCTTCATGGAGGGAAGCTGCCAATGCTTGTCATCTAGATTAGTCTGTGACGGATCTGCACTCTGAAGGCAGGCCTTCTGATCGCCGCCATTGGGCCAGGCGTTGTTTGAACCATTTCTGGAGGAGGGAAATGTTCAAAATTATCTGTCTTGCACTGAAAAACTATCCCTTTCCAAATAGTAGCCTATGTGGCCCAAATGAGAAAGAGGGGAGGTAAAAGATGTGTCCATGGGGATGATGACTTACTTTTCCTACCTCAGGACCTTGGTACATGCTGTTTCCTTTGCCTAGAAAGTTCTATCTTTATTTTTAATCCAATAATCTCCCTTTCATCCTTAGGTCTCAGCTTAAATAGAAATTTTCTCAATTACATTTTCCCAGAACACACTATCTAAAGAAGTGTGTTCCCCACTACCTCCTTAGTCTCTACTTTAGTGTTTTGTTATCTTCACAGAATATTCAGTATTTGTAGTTACTTTATTAACTTGTCTATTCCCTTGTTTTTAGTCTATATTCCCTTCTAGAATGTAAGATCTGTGTGAGCAAAGACCATGTTCATCTTATTATGATTTTAGCAACGGTTTAATAACTAGAGATTCATCAATATTTGTTGAATTAATAGGATAAACTGAAGCAGTTCCTTGATGCCCCAGATAGATCTCTATGGCCACTATATCTCATTGGTGTGTGCTGATCTCACCAAGGGCTCATCAGAAGCACTAAGTGTTTGCTGAATAAAACAAAATGTTAACTGAGCACTGGACAATCTCAGAGGACTCCTTTTTGGGGATACATGGAGTGGCCAGCCCAGTCTCTCCCGTTCCAGGGCTATTGAGCAGGGGCAGAAGATTGAGTGGGTCTACCAAGTTCACTTAGAATCTTAAATTTTCACATTTCACAAAAGTGACCATGTATTTAGGGAGGGTCCCAGATGGGGAGCTTCTGACATGGTGTGATGTGAGGGCTAAAATATTTTTATGTTGTAAGGCAATGTGGTATATTCTTGATAAGTCAGTGGCTGCTATTACTATGCTATTAAGGGAATGGGGACTCCCTAAAGTGGGGGTAAGGAGACCTATGCTAAGGAAGAGGGCTGGGGTCTGGACTAGGTTGATTAAGGGGGAACTGAGACTTTCAAAAAGGAGCTCTGGTAGCACAGTGCCTAAGGCATCTGCCTGCTAACCAGAAGGTTGGTGGTTCAAACCCACCAGCCACTCCATGGAAGGAAGACTGGGCAATCTACTTCCGTAAAGATTTACTGCCGCGGAAACCCAATGGGGATCACTATGAGTTGGAATCAACTTGATAGCAGTGGGCTTGGCTTGGCTTGGGACTTTCAACAAACAGCTTTGAAGAGGGACTGGAGAGGAAGCAGAAGCAGCAAGCACTGAAGTCCAATGGAGGGACTGGGTTAGAAAGTTCGATAGGTAGTTGCAACCCCCAAGCTCCACTCTCCTGTGCTTCTCAGCCTTTCAAACATCATGGCGTACATAGAGAATGATGTTTGCATGTCACACTGCTGAAAACCAGCAAGCTGCTGGGGTAGGTGACCACTGGGGCTCTGTAGCCCAGGTCCTGAAAATAGGAAGGTCTACTTTAACCAATAAAGAGATAAGCTGACAGGGTCTTATTGTCCCTTCCAAGTTTTCTAAAATTCACCTATTCTAGGGACAAGGACATGAAGGGGAAGAAAGGAAGCAAAAACCTCACAGCTGCGAGAGGCCAGAGCTGGAATGTGCTAACAAAGGCAGTTTGGTGAGAGATGCCTAGAGGGCTCCTGACTTAGCACAGACCAATGTCTGCTGTGAATCATTGGGTGGTGAAATGGTTAAGGCATTCAGCTGCTAACTGAAAGGTTACAGGTTCAAGTCCACCAGAGGTGTCTCAAATTTACTTCCAAAAAATCAGCCATTGAAAATCATATGGAGTAGAGGTCTACTCTGACACAGCTGAAGTTGCCAGGAGTCAGAACCGACCTGATGGTAACTATTAATGATACCTAAGGTGTCAGTTTTAACCTAAAGACAAATGGGGTAGGCTCTAGGGCCATACTGGAAAAATCCCATCTCTTCAAGGATACAGAGAGCTAAAGGGAAGTACAGTCACAAGTCCAAGGTCAGAAGAAGTGTAAGAACCACAGAGAGAGAAGTGCCTCTAAGGATAGGCTTACAGAGATAGAAGGGGAGTGAGAATTCACAGGATTATTTAGGGCTTTGCACCAGAGCTGAGCCAGCTGATAGCATGGGACCATGTCTACAACTCTCACCTAAGTATGAAACAGAGCTTACACATTGGAATTACTTATAGAGTTGTCAAGATCAGTTGTCCTATTCACCTTTTTACTATGGGATGGCAGCAAAGAAAAGTGATACAAAGCAAGTGGTAACAGTTTTCTATAAGGCAGCCTACTTTTCGGGGGTTGCTCTCTGGGTGCCGTATTTTGTTCTTCCTGGAGTCCCTACGTGGCATAAATGATTAAGCACTTGACTACAATTAAAAGGTTGGGGGTTCAAAACCACCCAGAGGGGCTTCAAAGACCTGGTGATCTGCTTCTGAAAGGTCACAACCATGAAAGTCCTATGGAGCACAGCTCCCCTGACACATGGAGTTAAGATTGAGTCAATGGCAACGAGTTTTTTTTTTTTTTTTTTTTGAGTCGGGGGAGGAAGGGATCACTAACCTTCAGAAAAAGAAAGAGCCTGTGTAACTTTGGTGTCTAACCAAATTCTGCTGCCTGAGGTGGCACATTTTCTTCTGGTATTCAAGTGTGTGTTTAGTTAACTTTAAATGCCAGTATGAGAGGAGCTTAGCTCCAGTTTCATTTATGCGGCAGTTCTTTGGGGGTTTCAAGGCTGCAAGGTCTGATTAAATGGGAGTTCCAGTTACTAGAGCTGAATAAATGGCAGAGTTTTAAAGGGACTAATTAAAAGCTGGAAGAGGAAAACCTCATTTTCTATCAGGATTCATTGAAGACAAAATGGTTGAGTGGGCCTTATTCAGAAAAGCCTCCCACATCTATACACTACATCATGGAGCAGAATATTAATGTACAATTATTGAAAATGGACCGTATTTGTGAATTTGTGACTTAGCATCCAGCTGGTTCAAAATCAATCCCTAGCATTGGAGGATGGGAGGAGGTTCAAGAAAAGCTCAACTATTTTCTGAAGATTGAAAAAGAATAATTTAGTAAATGAATTTCTGTTCAACAAAAACAAATAATTATCTCTCTTGCTTTTGTTTCTTTCCCTGTCTAGAGCTGAAATGTATCATGTCTCACAAACATCAGTACTAATTTTCCACCTGGCTTTATCCTTCTCTTCTTTGTTTCAGTCATCCCTAGGGAAAGGCATTCATCCTTTGCTTGTTTATAAATGAATGCCCTCATTACCCTTACCCACTGATGGAGATTTATTTACTCAGAGTGAACAGATGATAATTAGACACTGTGATGGGGAAGGGTTGGGGCAAAATAACATTGTCCCTGTCCTTTTCTCTAGTAGCTATTATGGACTGAACTGTGCCTGCCCCCCCCATCCAAATATGTGTGTGTGTGTGTGTGTGTGTGTGTGTGTTGTTGTAAACCCTAACCCCTATATCTGTGGTTATGATCCCATTTGGTAATAGGTTTTCTTTGTTATGTAAATGAGGATTAGTGTAGCATGTGTCTTAATCTCTTTTGAGATATAAAGGAGAGAAGCAGAGATGAGGGAAGCCAAGCCACATGAAGATCACCCAGGAGCAGAAGCTCAAAGTGACAAGG